CTTTGGTGGAGAAATTCTATTTGTTCTTCTAATTGCAAGATATACTCATCCTTTTCATTGAGTGTTTTATTCATTGATTTCATTTCTTGCAATAGAGACAATTTTTCTACATCTCTGATTAATTGTTCTTCATTGGGTGCAGGGATGTTTATTTGATTGACAGGTTTTGAAGGCTGTACCTGTTCAACCTCTTCCTTTAATTTTTTGTGGCAGAATATACAATATACTTTTGAGCATATTGTACATTTCAATTTTGTAGAAGGCTGGGTGTACCTATGACAATCTAAACATTTTTCCCATTGTGGGGGTTGATTTGATTGCCATGAATGTTTGCGGTCAGAATCAATCTTGATCATCATGATTTTTACAGTGTTTAATTTTTGATCAAGTGAATCTATAAACTGCTGAAGATTTTGATCCTCAGAGTCTATATCTTCTTCAGATTCTGAATAAGATTCAGACAAATCTTCTATAAACAAATCTTCTGAAATTATGCTGTAAACATCACTTTCAAACTCGTATCCGCTTATAGAGATGTTGGTTGCATTTCTATGCTTGTATTGTCTTGCATCCATAAAATAATAGAGAAAATTATGCATAATTTATTTGTTTTCTGAGTGCATTTAAAGGATTTTGGTATTGAAATGTGCACATGTGTTTTGAATCTTGAGTGTTATACGGTTATACCACTCCTATAATTCAAATAATGTTAAAATTATATACAATATCTTAAATATCCTTAATCTAAAAAAAAAGAAAAAAAAGAAGAGAAAGCTCAACTGTTGCACAAACTTTTTTTCATAACAATTTTAAGAGATTAACTCAAGTAAAAATAAAACCAAAAAAATAACTCCATGCAAGTAATCGAACAAAATTTTTTAACCTATTGTAATTTATATTCTAAAGTGAAACTTTGTTTTTAATTTTGATTTTATGCATATTTAGTTTTAATTAGTTTCAACGGTATTTGCTAATTATAAATAATTTTATAGATGTGCAAATTATTATTTCTTTTAATTGAATTATGCAAGTAATTTGGATGTGCCTAGTTAAAATAAATGCATTAATTAATTATTATCATTTTTTATGTATTTTGACATATGGATGATAATGAGTTACCAAGAAATGATGACATTATAAGTGGTTATGATGAATCAAACAAATTATAATTCAAGTTTTATGCTAGTCAAGATAGTAGAGTTAGACCTGAAGGACATTAGAAGAACTAAGATAAAAAATTAAGTTTTTCGTTAAGTTTTTAATGAAAAAAGTGTTTTGCTACTCTTATTTTAAAATATATGACCACGGACTTTTAAATACACTTACTCTGAACCATAAATAGGTTTAAGTGTAATTTTTTCGATAGTAAAAAGGATCAAACATCTTGCACAGACGGATGGTATCTCCATTTTCAGAAGCACCTCAATGCTACGGCAGCCAAGAGGCTACGATCGAAACTCAGATCAAAAGCATCGTGGAAGAATAAACAGAAGCAATTGGGACAATATACATACAAAAACAGAGTGCATATATTAGACGGAACTATCTTTTACAACAGATTAAAATTAACAGAGTAGTTTTTTTTTTTTTTTTTTGGGTTTTTTAAATACTAAATCCATTCATACATTGAAAAGTAAAGGAACTCATAGGTTAAGGCTAACAGCTAAAGTGAGCGGATCACAGTCACCTTTTTGCCATCTTGGGTAATTAGTGAATGTATGAGGCCTGGTACTGGTAGCCGTTTCCAAAATAGTTGCCATGACTGGGCGAGAAGTTGTAAGTGGCAGGTGGAAGAAGGGAGGGTCCATGGTTGTCAGCAGGTGCAGGGTAAACATAGGGTCTCTCATACACGTACTGCAGATACCTGTCAGCGACTCTAGGATAGAATGTCATGTCAGCAGCTACGTTAGTAACCCGGGGACCCTGTCCTGCACTATTAGCACGAGGTCTCTTTGGTTGTGGCTTTGCAGCTTCAGTTGCCCTTTTCTTGTCTGCCTTGGCCTTCTCTAGGGCGAGAACCTGCTTCTGGAGTGGCTCCACAGGGTACTGCTCCTCAAGGTTATGATCCTCAATGCACTTGATCACAGCTTTGAGAGCAGTCAGTTCCCGCTCATTTACTTCAGTCTGGAAAACAGAAGAGGATATATAATTTAGATATTAGAGAATGCAGTCAAGGAAGAAATAATAACTGGACTTGTATGTTAATACACAACAGTAATAAGAACAACTTGCTAACCAAACAAAGCATCAACAAAGCACCAACAGAGTGAATTCAGTTAAAGTATGTGTTTCAGAAGACATGTCCAGTATCAGCTCATATCTGCCCCAGTTAAATATACCTAAGTGCAAGACCAGATTCCAGGAAAACCATGTTGCTGTGGCACCAAGAATTCAACAGGTCAAACTCATAGAACTCAAAATACATACACAGTGATCGGCAACTATTCCAGCGGCAACTAACCTAGACTTAAGATTTAAACAAACTCAAGAGCACACATATTGTAGAACCTCACAGAGAGAATATTAACCTTATAACAAATTCACTCAGGCTCAAGCATAAAATTTAATGCAAGCCAGGTGGTGAGGAACCAAGACAAAAAGAAAACTCATGTTCCAGCTGCCATGAAGGCAAAACACACTGCTCTTTCAGGTCAACATGCAGATAGCCACTGCAAGGTCTAAACACCAAAGTAAATACCAGGTTGTTCAAACCCTATGCAGTTTTGAGCTAACTAACCAAATTACCCTAGATGATCAGACTAAGAAGAACCGAAACCTACCAAAATGGCTAACTGATCAGGGTGCTGATCTAGACAGGTCCGTACTCCATGGGATGCATTGAACAAGCATATGTTGTCGTTGGACCCCTTCAAGCAAGGTGCCTTCCATGAGGCCTACATGTTTGGTGCCTAGCTAAGTGTATGAGTGAAGTGTGTATTTAGTTAATTCTAGTTTTTATTTTTCTTCAGAGAAATTGGAATGCATGTCATTTTGAAATTTTATTCAATTAGCCTTTTCAATTGGTTTCTCCTCTTTCTCTTGCTTCCATTCCTATGTTCTCTTTTTCACATACTTTCTGAAGCATATGCTTAGTTTTATACACTCACTAGATAAGGCAAAATTTCATTTTAATTTAAATTATTAATTAACTTCCAAAATAGTTGCTTCTTTATTGGCTCACTGTACGAGGGTTGCAACCCCTTGGATGCACCTTTAACCTTTGTCTACACATGTTCAGGGCATAACAACAAATTCAGTTTTTTTTTTTTTTTTTAAAAAGACACAAACACACCTGGGCAGTAGGAGAGGTATTCCCTGGCTTGATAGGTGAAGAGACTTTTCTGGCATCCTTCAAGTAGGATTTCAGTAAAGGAACAGGAGAGAACTGCTCTGTAAGCTCAAAAGCAAAAGCCAAGTTAACTGCATCAATTTGTCTACCATTATTCACCAAGACTTCAATTACACCTGAAATAGATATAACAGAAAAGATTAATAGAAGCAAAAAAGTATGAAATTTAACCAGAACCTAAAGACATGGAAGAACTGGTTTATCTTTCTCAATGATATTCATATTGTTTAATCAATCATTTTATGTTGGACAAACCTTCAAGTATCACTCAAAAGAACCCAAGAAAATACAATACATTAATCAACTTAATTTCAAGTGCAAAAGCAAAGATACAAGTCTGCAACAATATTTTAACAATCATCATCTCAATTGAATGAGATGACCAATCTACTTTGAAACAGCATTAATATTGCAATGCTTTCTTAGAATATCCAAGCCTACACAGATTTGGTAGCTTCAAGAAGTTACTGCTTGGTAGAGGTGCAACATAAGTTGTAAGGTTGCTGTGTTGCCCATTGCCACTCACTAAATGCCTGTGCTAAGAACCTAGATCCATCCTAATAACCAGGCAAAATAATACAGGCCTTGTAAAGAGAACTTGCAACACTGATTAAGTTTTTTGAACCTTGACATAACTAGTTAAGTGGAAGGACAATCATAATCACATTTTACAACTACGTCGTTCAATTCATTTTACAACTATTCCACACAAATGAATTGTAACTTGTTTCTATCTGAAATGACAACACGGACTAACCTGGCATTTTTTCAGACAAACCAAGAGAGCGGCAGAGATCAGCTGTTTGACGACGACGGGAGACCATTGGTATCAGCCTGGAGAATTCTTCCTCATTGAAATCAGAGGCAATACCAAAAGTGGCCAGGAGTTGCAGAAATGCATGAGCCTCCAAGGAGTTCCCATTACTAGCATCCATATCAAGAACATCCAACTTTGGTTTCCATTCTTCGGCAATTGCCTTTGCTTGCTCTTTAATATCTTCTGAGATAACAGCAGACATGGAGACAACATCCAGATTGCTTAGAAAAGAGCTAAGGCACTCCATCAACATGATACAAGTCCTGCGGAGACCAAGTAGGTTTGAATCTTTCTTTCCATCTGCATTTGGCACTTCAGTGTGGTAAAAACCTTTCAAAGAATCCAAGACCAAAAGGGCTGGGCTTGCTGCAGCTTTGAATGCATAAGGAATTTCCTCCTTCAGGGCAGCAAGGTTCTTACGATTATCTGATATGAATTTGTGCAGCCCTTCAGAGTCCATCTCCTCACAGAGCTTGACCAACTCAGGATAAGTTACCTCCAAATTTCCACTCTCAACAGTGTTCTTTATGTCCTCTGAGTTACCCTCAAAAGCCACAGAATAAGGTGGTTTCTCTTCAGTTCCTGGTGCTTCATTTCCCCTGTCACTTTGAACAACAGGCTCCTCAGAGGATAATTTCCTGTGCTTCTCTAAAGCATTAGCAATAGCAAAAGCAGCAGAATCTCTCTTCTCCTGCAGCCTCTCCAGCGAAGCTTGTTCTTTGGCCATAACTGCTGCTTGCCGCTTCTCCAGCAACTGTTGGGCTAACCTAGTTTTGCTCTCAAACTCCTTTTCTTGGTCTTCCAACTCATGAAACCGTCGTTTCAAAGACTTCTCGAGCCCATGGAAATGTTCCTCCAGCTCTTTCCATTTCAAGTTGAGTGTTATAGCACGATGACTTTCAAGTTCAGCAAATGCCTTCTGAAGCTGCTGTATCTTAGAGGTAGTTGACTCCATGAGCATAGCAACTGATTGAGTATCTTCCATGGCAGAAAAACTGGAAAACATGATAAAACAGTCATAAGAACAAAATAGACATGAATCTTTTAATATTATGGGAAGAAACAAAACAATCTAAAAGTGATGGCGAACTGAACATTAAGGAAGTCAAACTCAGAATAAAAAAACTGCTAGTTTCTTTAAAAAATAAAAAAAACTTTTACCATGTAGTATAAAAATGGCCATATTCCAGCTACTAAAATATAGCATAACAGCAACATTAAAAGCTTGAGCACCCATCTTCATGAGTAGGACATGACTTGGAAAACAGTAATTACATAGTTGCCCTACTCCTAAACATCAAATGGTTAAGTACAAAAGCTACTCTATCGTGGCATTGTAGAACTAAAGCTTACTTCTAGTAAGACCAACACTAATCATCAATATTAGCACAGAAGGTGAAACAAAAATTTATCTAAATCACAAAGGAAAAAGAGAGATCTCTGGAACTAAATAAATATGAAATATTCCACAAGTTCTCAGGTAAATGAACTTGTGTCACCTACAGCTGCATATAACAAGATAATGAGAAGAAGCAAACAAGATATCTACAACAATGCAGCTGCTAGTCCTAAACCAGTAAGGAATACAGTACACATCTGGAAAAGGCGCATTATAGAAAAACCATATCATTATTTAAGTTAAACCATTTTTCTTGATAACTCTAATAATCACAATGGAAAAAGCTAATAGACAGCAGAAGCATAGTTTCAAGTTCCAAGGGCAAACCATCTGAAACAGACATACTCCTGAAGATAATAGAAACTTTTCTTAATTATCCTAGATTGCTGTCACATCTTTCTCAATGCATAGTCTTGTTCCTCCAAGAGCATCCATAAATGTTTTCCAAAAAGAAGGAACTTCATCTTTTGTCAAAAAATTAAAAATAAAAATCAAATGTCCATGCCAACACTTTAAATTTGAAAAACAACAAATTTCACACATGTATGTTTCACTGTGAAAGAAAGTATCAGTTAACCATCCCATAAAAATTGGTTCTTTCCAGAAAATCAAAACCCAAGTACCTTTAACTTACCCCACATTTGCAAGATTGTAGGCAGATTATTTTTCTTAGGTTTGTCTATCCAACAATTTTAAACACCCTAATTTTGCACAGAGTACCAAAAGAAGACTTAACTGGATTAAATAAATTAACCTCATAATTATTCCCCTCCAAATTTAGTAATATCATAATCTCAAATAGCTTGGCGATTTAGGTTCTAAAAAAGTTAGCACATGCATCACCAAACAAATCTTCACCAACCCACATCCCAAGCAGAAAAAAGTAGTACACAGGAAAAGCAATCTGAACAAAGCAGCATAACTTCCAATAAGTACTCAGCTCGAGAAATTAAATAGCAAACGAAGAAGAATAAACACCAGTACTTTGCGGGCTTGAGCTCACTGAAGGAAGACGATGATCCAGAGATCGCAGACACTAGAATAACACAAACACCAAAGGCTTCACTAAAACCAAACCAATACCAAAGGAAACCAGAGCAATTAACTAGCTAAAAAGAACATCCAAGCTCAAATGATAAATTTATGGTGAAATGAAGCGATTCTTCTAGCAAAACAAGCAGTTCCGATCTGGATAGAAACAGGAAAAGGAAGAAATAGAAATGGATAGAGAAACTTACCCGATTGATTCAAGGGAAAATGGATGGGAAAGTGAGAAAATTCGGCGAGAATTCGAATTATCAATCCATTTCTTCGGCTAGGGTTTGGTTGATAGGGGTGGGTGCGTGCGATTGCTAATTCTAAATCCCTAGAGAGAAAAAGAGGAAAGTTGAGGGAAGAAAAAGCGAGTGTTTTATCGCTCCGTTTCCGTCTTTCACCTTTTGTTGGGCACTCTGGTTTTCACTATTTCCCAATTCGTCGCTTCTTTAGCGGAGTTAGATTGAACCCTGGAGTTAGTAAGAACAGAAGTGCTACTAACGAGCCTGTTAAGGGTGCCTGTTCTGGGCTTCGTTTGTCTGTGCACAGATTTTTTTTACACATACTTTTACTTAAAATTGTAATTTTATAATTTTTAAATAATGTTAATTAATTTTTATGTGTAATTATTAATTTTAATTAACATTTTTATATATTTTTGACGTAATACAAAAAGGACCTATTGCTACAATAAACATAACACGAACAAACAAAATCTTAATGTTTTATGAATAACTATTAATAATATCAGTTGTATCTAAATAATTAATAAAAACACTTTTAATAATAGTTTTAGAGTGACAAAAGTTGATCTAATTTGTCAACTCAACTCCATTCAATTATGAATAAGACTTATTATCAAAAAAAATTGTGGATAGGATTTCTTAACTTTTTATCCATTTTGATTTAACTCATTTAACTCATGAATTAAGTCACAACTAAATTGTTCACTTAATTATTGGTATAAGTAGACTTAATATATTAACATAAGTCAACCCACTTGTTTAATATAAGTGATAAATAAGATTTTTTTTTTTTACTTGTAAATTTATTTTTCTAAGCCATATTTAACTTATTATTACTTACAATGATTTGGCCTAATTAATTTGATTTAACTCATTTGTTAAGTGTAAGACCTTAGAAGTACAAGGTGTGTTTGGAAGCCAAGCTATTTTAGTTGGTCTTATAGGGTTTTTAAAATGTATTCAAAAAGTGGATAAAGTTAATATATTGTGGTAATCAATTATAAATGTTTGTAATCAATAATACCGTTCGAAAATCATTTTAAAAAGAAAAATCTTAGAAGATTTTCTTTCAAAATTAGTAATTGATTACTTATTTTTATAATCGAAAGAATGTTATAATGTAATCCACCCTACGCATATTAACACTACTTTTAATTATTAATAAATAGATAGACCCCAAAATCAAAAGGTTAGTATCCTCAATTAATAATTAAATACAATTTAAACAAAAACAAATTAGATTACACTTTTCTAAATAACCAATCACTTCTTTATATAATCAATTAACACGTGAAATAACAAGTTATTATCATGCGTTTTTGTGCTAGGAATTTTATCTTTCTAAGCTGTGTATTTCCCTTGTATAATCATAGCTTGTTGGCTCAAGCCTACCCTGAAAATTTTTTCCTAAAAAAATTACCTACCAAACATGCCCTTAAGTTCAAATAATTGTCGGCCAACAAAAAGTTAAAATCTCTACTAATTTAAAAAATTATATATGCACTTTAATCTTCTTAAAATACCCAATTGGTTGTCTTCAAAAGCCCAATCTAAGTGGGCTGAAATTGTGTACGCTTTCATTCATCTAAAATACCCAATAGTGAATTGGCTATCTTTCAAAGCCCAATCTAAGGGGGCTGAAAATTTCCATTGTAAGTCCCAATTGCGTCAGTCTTTCTACCAAAACTCTCCTTTTTTGTTTTTTTATTTTTTTTTTATGTTAAATGCATAATGGGACAACCATTTCTCCTTCCTGATCACATATCCCTTCACTTATATACCATACTATTTAAATTTAGAACATTTTATTTTTAACAAAAAAAAAATTATTATTTAACTATTTAAATCGTTGATTTCTACTAAAATTTTTATACTAAAAAATAATACCCAAAATTAAATAAATAAAATTTCCACTCTGATTCCTTGTCTCATTTTTCGGAACCACCTCAAAATTGCAGTTATGGGTGGTTTTATTACTCTTTCTTCTCTTCCTCTCCGGTTCAATTCTGCAGATCCAAAAACCCGTCACTGTCTCTACGGCCACCAACAGGTCCATCATAGCAGAAAGCGTGCGACTGCCGACCTCCTGCCGGTAATTTCTGGTAGGCCAGTATTTCTCATTGTCCAAGGCAAAGATTGTAGAATTGCCGAATTTAAACTTCTATCTTGTAAACAGTGATTATCAATTTCTTAAATTTTAAAAGTATTATTAACGATTTAAATAATTTAACAATGATAATTTCTTCTAATAAAAGTAAAAGATTTTGAATTCAAACTATATGATATATAAGTAAAGTGAGATAATAGATACAAAAAATTACTTCTCATTGCATAACCAATATAAAAAAAAAATTTAAAGTATTTTTAATCACCTACTTAGAAAGCCTTCATTACTTCTCCTAATTTGTCTCTCAATGTCAGTTTCTTTAAAACTTTGCTTTTATGGGAAACAACCATCGACGTAGATGTTAACTTTACGGAAATCATGCTCTGTGGAAGTGAAAAACTATCACATTTGAATCTATTTCAAACAAAGAAGTTAAAGCCCCACACCCGCAAAAAAATTCCTCATCTCGTAAAAATTGGAATTTCTCAGATTTTGAGGCTGGTAAGTTTCTCTTTTCTTTTTGCTTTTTTTTTTTTTTTTTTTTTGTTTACACAATTTGAAGAGTTTGCTTTCATCTTCTTTTGTTCTAATAATGTATCCAATGTGAACATTTATAATTCAATTTCTGATTTGAATATTTGTTTCCTTCTTTTTCCTTAACCCCGCCTGAGAATTCAGAGGGAATATTTTTGGGAATGATTGAGTTTATTTGGAGAAGTATAGTCAAAATCCAAGGGTCATTAACTTCGCTAATGTCTTCTTTTAAGTGTCAAAATAGAACTTTCAAGTGCAATTGCAAGTGCAAAACAAACTGTTTGACTTAAAATCTTTAATAAATAGTGAATCCTTAACCCATATTTATAAATCCAGCAATAATATAGGCGTCAATGGTTTGCTAGAGGGACATAGATTTTTCTATAGGTGCTTTGCTACGACATATGTGATGTTCAACAAAAAAAATCAATGGAAGAAAATGTGTGATTTTACTAAAATCAATGGAAATTTTGAGGTGATTTAGACTCTTTTAAGTTAATTGGAGCACCAGCAATAAGAAATATTGTTTTGAGTGGCCAAATACATGCACCTTTCTTATACTTTTGAATTATAGAATCTAAAAGTTAAATGAAGTGTGTCAAATGCAATAAATTTGAATGTATTCTTGTTTCCTTGCAGTCTATGACAGTGTTGTTTGTCACAAAGTATTTCAGTACAAGGGGAATCAAAGTTATATGTATTATTGTGTGGCTGCTTAATTCTTCTCTGTTCTCCTATTTTTGCGCCTCCCATTTTCTCCCATTCTTTTTTTTTTTTAATTATTATTATTATTATTATTTATGGTTTGGTTCTTTTTTCTTCTGTTTTCTTTTGCCATTTCTCTTCTATAGTAATATCTTCGTTGGTGCATCTTGATTATTGCATTCCCTTATTGTTTAATTTTACTGAATCTAATTTATTATTGTCTATTTGATTATTTTCAGATGATTTATAATATTAATTCAATCAAAAGTACATTTTCTTTAATTTTACTTTGGTCAATTTTTTTATTATAGTTTATGCTTTTGTTGTGGTGAGATGCAATCGCAATGTGTTGATTCCTCTTGAAGATTAGATAAACTTTTTGATGACCTAATTTTATTTAGTGTCCGTAATGGTAACTTTATAGTTTTTCTATATTATCTTTAGACTTAGATATAAAAAATAATTGATATATTTTTCAATTTGACATTTTTTAACATTATTTGCTTTAATAATTAAAATATAATATAAATACAATCAATTCAATTAATTTTTATGTGTTGTATGCATGATTATATATTTAAATTTATTTATATTTAATTTTAAACTAAAAATAATAATTTTTTAATAAATAAATTGTGTTGTATTAAATTTTTTTGATCAGCCAAATAATTTTTTTTCTTTTTTATTATTAATATAGAGTACAAAGGGTAGTCTAACCCATATTTACAATACTCCCATCATCGTTATCAAAATTTCACTCACTTTTTACAAAATAAGAAACAAAATTAAACTTCACATAGAGCTGGGAACTGGCACCAATCATTGTGTTGTATTAAATTAAAATATATATCAATCAATATCTTTATGATATATTCACTTTGTGGATGCATTAGGTGGGTGCTATCAAGGGTGCTGGATAAAAAAAAATCACATTTTATATTAAGATTTGTCTAACCTGTGCTATAAGACACATGTTAAGAGAGTGTTAAATATATTTTTCATATATTAATTTATATAAAAAATAAAAAAATTAACATTAATTTTAACAGTTATAACATATGAATATTTTTTATTAAACAATTGATAAAATTAATATTAACTTTTAGTTTTATTTTACTATGTGTATTAATAAAAAAATATATAATAAATATATCTATATCTTGTACCTTAAATACACATGATAAAAAAATCCTTTACATTAAACAACCTCATTTCTTTGCTCATTGTTTTTAAAGTGCTTCTGAATATCGATATGCATGTATTGTTTGCATTTTAATATAGATTTAGATATGCATTCACTATGATTGTGTTAGGGTCATAATAATATTATTATAATTTGTTATCCAATACAATAGCTCCATTGTTTCAATTTGGAGTCCAGATGACTGAAGTAACCTTTAACTTGGTACAATTGAGGTATATTAGGCATTATTTTTCTAAACACTAGGAATTTTTGTTGATTGGGAACATATTTATTTTATTAGGAAATGGAAGAAGGAAACATTCTGATTCTAGCATTGTGGCAGCAGAAGAAAAAGACACGGGATGTGAGAACCATAATCAACAAACCATACTTGGGCAATACTTACCAATCAACATTATCAAGTTACAAGTAGCTCAATAGCATGATCAAACCTTTTTGGATGCAGTTAAAAAAAAAAAAATAGCATGATCAGGACTCCTTTCAATACAAATAAATGCATTCATTAATGCAGCTATAGCTAGCCAATAACT